CAGGCCAAGCATTTTCATTTCTTTGTGCTGTTGCACTTGCTCCCTGAGCCTGGAATGTGCTTCCCATTTACCCCCTCCTCTGCCCATTGATTCCTGCTCCCCAAGCCCAGTCCAAAGATGGTCTCCTTCACGAAGGTTTTCTCCATCATCCAACTTGCAAATAATCACGCGGTCCTCTGAGCTCCTGCAGGACTTCACGTGGAGCCCTAACTAGCCCTCTATTCGGTTCTGCTTTGTGTTACATTTGGTTGTTGAACCAGGTAAGTCAAACCCTCACTGCTGTCCACCTGGGTGTGAAGCCCTTGACCTTAATTAAAGGCCTTCACAAGGAATGGCAGACAAAAACTGGCATTTGTGGGAAAGCTGTTGCCAAAAACATTAATTATTGTGTCTATCAATGTCCCTAGGTGGGCTTCCAGGTGAGAAGTGAACTTGAGGCTTGAGGACCGGAAATAACGATGGGCTTTTTCCTCTACGATAATGAGAGCTATGAAATTCAGCTTGTTCTCTTTTTCCCTCGGCTGCCAGGAAGCTAAGAAGCGGATCTGATGTTCAGTCCTAGCAACCGTATCACGTGCCAGCTTCCTTCTTTTTTTCGTGGACTTGGTTTTCTATTTCTACATTATTAGCGTATAAAGGAAAAGAAAATCAGGCGTTCATTGTGAGTCACTTCAAAGTCTCTGTAGAGTGGCTAAGCAAAAGCAAAAGTAATAAGGAGCTATTCGTGATGATTTCACCTGCAGAACAGATCTAGGATTTAGGAAAAGGTTTTGCTTTTAGTCTTAGGGTTTTCATAAAATATTTGAATCTTTTACCAGGTCCAGTACTAGTTAATACAAAATCAGTTTTTTAACTTAAAAATTAATATTTAATTGTTAAAAACAGAACTGTTTACAACTCTGACTTCCCCCGGGACACAGCCCATGTCATTCACATTCTTCTCTGAATCCTCCTTCATACGGTAGAACACGCTGTACATAACTGGCATTCGTCAAATATCTATTAAATGGATGAGGAAAAAGTTCTCCCAGGTGAATTTAGAAGCCAAAGAAGGAGCTGCGGGCTCTGTATCTCTAGACACTCCTGGGTTCAAAGCCCAGATCTGGCTGACCACGCAGCCCTGAAATGGGCAGCTACTCGGATCCGTCTGAATCCCAGTTTCTTCATCCGTAAAATGAGGCTTTAACCACTTCTCTTTCAGGGTTATTTTGAGGATTAATTCAGACATGAGATGCCTAACACTGAAAATTCCCTTCCTTTTAGTTACATGAGCTCGTGGGCAGAAAAAAACATTGTATTTTTAAATTTTATTTATTTATTTGTTTTGACCATGCCGTGCGGCTTGCGGGATCTTAGTTCCCCGACCAGGGACTGAACATGCACCCCGCAGTGAGATTGCTAAGTCCTAACCACTGGGCCACCAGGGAATTCCCCACTGTATGTTTTAAACGGGCAACTCACCACCAGAAGCTGCACTGCTGGGGAACACAAGAGGAGGTACGCGGGTGAATGTCATTAGCTGGATAATGCATGCTCTTCAGAACCACAGAAATGGTAAAATCTTAGATACAAAAGAGAATCCAAGCCCATAGGCTTCTTCCAAAGGAGGCAGTGGCCCTTGCTAGTCATAGACATCAGCAGTTTAGACAGAAGAGATTCTGCTCAATCACAAAATGCGAGACGAGTGATAGAAGAAATAAGTAAACTTTTTGTTTTTAACATCTAATTGCCCTGATAAACAACAAGGTCCTACTGTATAGCATAGGGAACTATATTGAATATCCTGTGATAAACCATAATGGAAAAGGATATGAAAGAGAATGTATATATATATATATATATATATATATATATATGTATATATATATGTATAAGTGAATCACTTTGCTGTACAGTAGAAACTAACACAACATTGTAAATCAACTATACTTCAATAAAATAAATTTTTTTTAAATACAAAAAAAGAAAGAAAGAAATTGCCCTAGAATTGTTGTGGAATGGTTTTCCTCAAAATGGAATACAAGTGCCACTGATAGGACTCAAGGGATTTTATGTGGCATATGGAGGAACATCTATTATTTTAATCATTATGCATTATACGATGTGTTATAAAACACTGAGCTAGCACAGCCAGACTGTGATATTGCACAAACTATTATGAAGTGTACTTTTAAGTTTTAAAATATTTTTTAAATGAGTGGATTTAAAGAAAAAGTGATCATATCATGACTGGTAGAACCTATCTATGCCAAAAAAATGTAACATAGTTCTAGGATTACTGGAAGTATAGAAAATACAACTTTAACCTGCAGGTCGTGAGCAACTGTTTGATTTAAGGGCAGTCATGACCCTGGGCCCCTCATTTGTCCCCAGATGACTTTCCAAAGATTCCCAATCCCATCTACACACTCTACTTCGGCCCCACTGGATTTCACACCAGTCCACCTACACACCCTGTGTTCTCCCACCTCCATGCCTTGTTTTGCCTAGATGCACCTTGTCTTCTCTCTCTGCCAGGCCAACCTCAAGCAGAGTCAATCTCTCTCTCCTCTGGTCTCCTGCACAGTCTTGTGCACAATGCTTGCTATTATGACCTCGGCACCTTGTGTTACGATTTCTTTCAGGGGTGGTCCTAGGCAATGCCTTGGGTTTTTTTAATTATTTTTTTCTTTATTGAAATATAGCTGATGTGCCACATTATGTCACTTTCAGGCGTACTACGTGGTGATTTGACATTTGCATACATTATGAAATGATCACCACAATAAGTCTAGTAACCATCTGTCCCCATACAAAGTTATCAAGGTAGTACTGACCGTATTCCTTAGGCTGTATATTACATCCCTGTGGCTTACTTATTTTTTTTTTTTTTTTTTTTTTTTTTTTTGGGTCCGCGGGCCCCTC